CCAGCTTCCTCCCACTCTCCACTGGACCACAGGGATGTCAGCCAACCAGCTTCCTCCCAGGGCAGATCCTTCTGCAGAGCAATTCCTCAGAGTTTCTCCCTGAACCCAAATTCAGAGTCAGAGAATCACCCTCGTCCAATAGCTGGCATGGTAGCTGTTGGACTCCTAAAGCACAGGGATTCGTGATGCAGGGACTTCAAATACCAAGCAGCTGTCCCCCCTCCATCTTGGGATGAAGCCCACCGCTTAGGCCACACAGTTACAGTGGAGTTTTCAGCGTAAGTTATTTCTGTATTTTATCTTGGTTGATTCAGGAAATTACAAGTGTCCTAATGCTTAGTGACAGAATCTGGCAAATCAAAGGGTTCAGGGAAACATAAACAGACACAAATCACCTTCACACTGCCCCTCCCCAGAACTCAATTCCCCATTTTACAAAGACCATGTAATCCTTCGTTTTCAAACAAACGCCACTGCAGCACTGTGATCCCAGAGTAAGCCAGCATAAATCTTGCAACAAGGGGCGTGTTTAATGTGGTCTTTAATAGTCCACTCCCAGGGCTCCAGCCTGGCATCAGTGGAGCCGAGTCTCGGGGGATTACATGTGTCAGCCACTCACCTGGTGGCAGTCAGCACTGTGGACCCACCTGAGAACTCTCCACAGGAAACTATGGGCCACATTTTCCTGCCTTGTAAAAGGCAGAATTAAAAAGAGAAAAACAGCTATTAAATTAATTGGCACTAAAAGCATGTAACGGTTATCTAATCTACTAATTTTTGGTTTAATATTAACCCCAGTGTCTGCTATGACACGCATTTGACCTGCACAGGGAGCCAGCTCACTGCTTAGGTCTTTGAAGGGAGGCAAGAGGTTGGGGGAAGGACAGGGCTTGGAATTCTTTCACTCTGACCTTGTATTCGAGAACTGTGTTTGCTCTGAGCCGAGTATTGACTTAATGTGAGGCCAAGCTCATCGAGCCTGATGTAGCATGCTCCTCCGTAAATTTTAAAGGACCACGGGTTCAAGAGGCAGCTTTTAACTCGCAGATGCTTGAATTGGCTAAAGTGATAGTATCTCTCTTCAAAGGAGGAGAAGCATTAGGTCCCAAGGGAAGGACTGCCCAGGGCCACTGGGCGGGACAGATGCTCAGCTGGGACCCCAAGTCTTTGTTTCCTACTCTCCACCATTTTTGTTTAATCATAACCATACAGAAAGCCCTTGAAGTTTCCATCCTGTATGCAAGAAACATGTCGACTCTGGGAGTAAAATCTTGCAGTGAAAAGCATGACGTTTGCCCATAGTTTGAAAAAGATCCTACCCAAAAATGCAGTCACTCTTTGGACCACCAGGAGTGGCTGCAGGTCGAAGATGGTGATGATGTTCAGTGTTATCTGGAAATGTCTGATGGTGACATCCATATGAAGATTTCCTGTTGAACTGTCTCAGGTGCTTGGATGAGATGGAACAGCCAGTGTCTGAATAAGACCTGTTTCCTTGGTCTCTATCAAATGTGACCACACATGGCCCAGGACACCCCTTTCTTCTACTTCTCTGTCCTGGGTCTCCAAATTTCACCATCTTAGATTTGCAGAAGAACAGAAGAATTTGAAATTTTCATAAAATGAAAACTACTCAGTAGGAGCCTTCCCCCAAGCATTAAAAATGTAACAGTCACATGCTAAAGGAACCTTCTAGAGCAGACAGAAGGACACAGAATAGTCACGGGGCATTGTGTTGCACACTCCAAGAGGGAAAAAAGGGTGGATGAATTGCATACTCTTTGGGACAAATTATCTGCAGGACCATGCATCTGATAGGACCAAGTTGCAGCAGGCTGTCTTTCTAGAGGTGCCTCTGGAGACACACCCAGCATGGGTTGTTCTTGAAGGAAAATCTCTTGTTGCTGGAATCAGAACCCTTTGTAATCTGTTTCCCAGCAGTCATCTCTAAGCCAGGATCCTCTCCAGTGAGGATGAGACAAATCAAGGGATGATGCACAGGACGCCCTGTTCTCCAGCCCACCATGTGGTACACCCTGTTCTCCAGCCCACCATGTGGTACACCCTGTTCTCCAGCCCACCATGTGGTATGCCCTGTTCTCCAGCCCACCATGTGGGCACTGTAGGAAGCCTACACCCCAGGTGTGCTCCCAGCATGGCAAACGACACCCCTAGATCTATCTGCTCTGATAAGTGAGTGCCACGGAGATACATATTGTCTTTTAAAGCTTGTTCCCAGCTGTCTTGAGTTCCCATAGACACACGTGCCATTGTGCCTATTAGTAAAATGGTTTGAAGGTCCGTTCCACAGGTGCAGCGGCTGACACCCTCCGTGGGTGTCATGCTTCAGAAGCATGCTTGACCATCCAGAGCCTGAGCACGGGCAGCATTGGAGTTAGTTCCCTGTCTCACAGCCCTCATGGGCTTCATGCCACATTAGCCCATGACTGTGGACCCCTCTGTCCTTGGCACCACAGGGAAGACATGGATCTCTTCAGAAACCCAGAACTCACCGGTGCTTTGCCCCCTCACTCCCCTCAGAGCCTGTCCTTGAGAAAAGAGGGAGCAGAGGACATTCATAGAACTGCAGCTGCCACATTGCCCTCTCTCGCGATCCCCTCCGCCTAGTGCCTCTGAGAGTGTGCCTCTCTTCTAGCGCTGTGTTTATATTTTGTCTGGCATTCAGCTTTAGAGTGTGTAGAAATACCTGACACAGCGGCGTGGGCTAGTGAGTAAGATGAGAGCAGCTGCCAGAGGTGGCTGTACCCTGGAACAGGTACCATACACCACCCCACCACCAATTCATGTTAAATCATTTACTCCTGTCAAAGACTGGGATTCTGCTTTATACAGCTATTTTACACACTGCCTTGTTCATTTGATAACAACCAACATTTGTGGAACAAAAGTTCCAGATATTCTCCCAAGCGTTTTGTATGAACTACCTATGGAAGTATGTATGTAACCTTATAGAAGATGAAATTATTTCCATGGTATTTTTTATAAGGAAGCTATTAAGTGTGGGAAGGTATAATAACACATATATTGACTCAAGCCTTTCAGGCCTCAGAACCTGAGTGCCTAAGTAGCCACCAGTATTTTGAGGGTTTGGGGGTATGTGTGTGCATATGCTGGGCCAGTATTTTGAGGGTTTGGGGAGTGTGCGTGTGTGTGTTTGCTGCACCAGCTGCAGTGGGGATGAGGACTTCACTGATGATGCAGTGGCCATGGTTCCATACGGAAGGGCGTGGGGATGCTGTGATACTAGTGCTATCAAGACATCCTTAGACCCAGCTGCAGACATTGCTGTCTGTGGTCCTCTCATTCTGTATCACTGGCCACAGGAAATGCTTTGCCCCTCCTAGGGGAGAAGCCCCAGCTCTGCCTTGGAATCTTCAGGTCTGGGAAGTCAGGAGTCTGGCTCCAGTGCATGGGATCAGCGTGGGTTTCCTCAGTCCCCATCCTCGTGTGTTCAACATGGCATCAAAGGTGCCTCACTGGAAGGAGCAGATGCAGCACAGCCTGTGTTGGAAATGATGTGGCTCAGATCTTGGCTTCTTCCGGTCTTAGGAAGGTTGAACAGGATGCTTTCTAATCCTTCTCCTGGACCCAGTATGCCCTCTTTATCTATAAACCTGATGAATAGCCTGCCTGACTTTCCTTGGGCCGTGTGCTGAATCACTTTTTCTAGAAGTGTAAGACACCAGTCATCTCTCACCATCCTCTACAGAAGATACATTTCCCACAGAGTGGCGCATGTCATGACTGCGGTCTCCTCCTCACTAGGACCCAAGTTCACCCACTGTTCCTCATGCTGCTGCTACAGGTGTAGGATATCAGTGAACCTTGGAAATACTGGTGGCTACTTAGATACTCATGTTCTGAGGCCAGAAAGACCTGAGTCAATATATGTGTTATTGCACTTGCCCACACTTAAGCCTGTCTCTTCCCAGGGGGCCCTGGAGGCCCTGGAGATGCCTGTGGCTCAAACCTGAGCCCAGAAGGAGCACAGGGCCAACCTGCAACTTCAATGCCAAAGCCAGCCAGCCACTGTCCCTTCCCCTTGGAAGTGAGGGCCAGTACTCAAGGTTGTTGCTGCCCCCTCTCCCAGTCAAGTTCAGATGAAACACATCCCTTTCTCCATAGGTATTGACTATAGCAGCATTGAGATGTAGCCATCAGGTGTCAAAAGGTTTTTGTAAAATCAAAATGGTTCTGTAACTCACAATGGGTGTCCCTTTGAAGTAGGATAGATGTGCCCACAGTCATTGTGATTCACATTTAATTTGGGCCAAGGTAAAAGATGAAATCGGAGGCTGAGTGAGGCCTGTTCTCGAATTCTTCTGATAGAATGAATAGTGGTGCACTTCAGAGATAAGAGCCGGGTGGGTGTGGGGCGGTTCTGAAGACCTGGAGACCCAGAAGTATGCTTGGAATTCAAAGCCACTATGGCAATGAAGGAAGGTATGTCACCGGCAACCCAAAGACGTGCAGAGTGGAATGAAGTGCTAAGCGAGGAACAAACACGTCTCTTTTTCCTCCCTGAGAAAGGAAATGCATGTGGTAGCAATTTCCTTGTGAAGGACAGCCTGTCACTTTGGATGTCATTTGTCAGGCCAAAGCCATCCTCTGCCTGACAGGGAGCTACCTTCCCACAGTGACACCATAATGAAATTGTATTAAAGTTTCACCATAACAAACTGCATCAAATCTCTCCTATTTTCACCTCTGCAAAAGAAAACCAGTCTGTCCTCACCAAGTACAGCTTCTCTGGGTGGCCCCTGGCTACCTCTCCTTCCTTAGGTCCAGCCTAAAGGGTCTGGGCTGGGACTGGTCACCACCATGGCCATGGAGGAGGATCTGTGGGATGAGGTCAGTCTATAGACCTTGATGTGAGGAAAGGGAAGCACAGAGGTGCTGAGGGGCCAGGAAAAAACAAAAACAACTCTTATACTGAAAAGAGTCTCCGAGCCAAAAGCCTTTGAGGGACATTTAAGATCTAAACCATTCTACAAGGTATATGTACTTCAAAACACTTTGTGTGTTAAACTCATATAACTTTATATGTTAACTTAAACAACAGGTAAGTCTGAAAGAATGAAAGACACAAAAACAGCACTGCAGTTTGAACAATGGAATGAAGCTAGGACAAGACTGTGCAGCAGGAACAAACTGGCCGCACACGCAGCGCTGG